GTGTACTCCCAACCTCAGTCTTGGCGATCTGTGAGGCAAAATTGCGTATCATTGGCTGAGTAGGTGGTAAGCCTCTATCTGTTAGTCGATTGATATAGGCGATTAGGGCCTGCTCCTGCTGTGGGTGGAGGAGCTGCCGTTTTTGGCCACCTATCGCGCGTGAGGCGTGTAGGCCTTGGTGTCTTCAGGTAAGCGTAGATCGAACAACACTATATTTTTTGCAATATCTGTATACGAAAAAGGCTCATCAGGTCCTAGGGCATTAATAGCTGCAAGCGCAGCCTCAATATTAGCCATGGTGGTGGGGATACGACGCGTTGAGGTTGAGGTGGTTGTAAGGCGCGCGCGCACTTTGTGGTCGCGCGCACTTTGTGGTGGGGCTAGTTAGACAACGCGAGCAATAAATGCCGGCCAATCCCAAGCCGCCGCTCCCTCGGACTGCTCAACCACTCCACTCGGCCGTCTCAAGTGCTCGTTGAACACTGACTTGCCCTGCATATGCTGCATGTATATACTTACGCGCCCGGCATGCCCTGCCGCTGTGTGTGCCCCACCCTGCTGACACCTTCCACAACGAGACCAACGCCTGGCGGTAGGGTAAATGGCCGGATGCAGTGCGGTACGACGTTGCGTGGGCGCCAGGCCTAGCCTTGACGCCTGGCCGGAATAGGCTTGTAGACAACATATCTCAAACATGTGTCCATGCCGTCTGCTGGCCAACCGCACTTGAAATTTCTGATTCATGCGCGCGCGACGGTTCGTCACACCTGACTAATTATAGACATCCATGGAAATACATGTGAAAGCAACCTGCAAGCTCCACGTTGACTTTGGATCATGCATGCATTGCTTCGGGGGCACCGAAGGGTCAGGCCACGGGGTGCGGCGCTGATCATCTTGTGTCTTGGATACAGCTTTCAATTATAGAAACGTGTATGCAGTTGTGATTGTGTTGGGTACTGGCACCGGATTTCCCACATACCGTGCCCAGAACTACGGTAGCACGAGACAAACAAGCTGTGAACACTGCCAAAAACAAGAGTACCAAAGCAGTTACACGGCCGTTATTTCCGCTCCGAACAATTGGCGGGGTCGCGGAAGCTGAGAAGAGCCAGAGTCTTTACTTCAATACGCCATCACTAGTAGCCTGAACCATCCTATGTAGATACAAATTCCTCAAACCGAAGAGGCACACACCATCCAAACGTATCCGCCACCCTGCCGTGCTGGATGCCCTTTAGTGTGCTAGACAACTCCTCATAGCAAGGCCCGTTTTCAACAAAGTTAAAGTCACGATCCGTAGATTGATGCCGGATCACGGCGACCGACACCAGTCCAGCAGCTGTGCCAACCGCAAGTACTTCGCTGAAGTCTGCGAGCTCATCCAGCCTCACCTACACCGCCATGTCAGTCTCAAAGAGGAATTTTCCTGGCTCTTGAAGCGGTATACTGACCTGCCGCTTGACCACTTCCCATCCCAGTGACGACGCCAGTTCCGAAACCGTCACTGCAGTAATACTCTCAATGGCCGCCGGGCTATCCGCCACCACCACCGTCGTACGCTCACTCTTCGTGCTCTCATCCACCGTACGCGTGATGCCAATGAAGCCCGAGGTGCTAAACTCATCAATGAACGTCTGCGTCTTACTGTCGACATGCAACAGCACGCCCCAACCGCCATTCTCAGGTTTACGCGCCTCCCGCGACCACTTGATGACAGGGGCATAGTTCCCGCCGACCTTGACAGCGCCAGTGCCGCGCGTAGCAGCGCGATCAAAGTCCTCCGACACCAGCGCGCGCAGCGTCCCGTACCCGTGAAAGGCCACATGGGGCTGCACAAAGACGCAAAACACAAACTCATCTGGCGGCTCCAGCCCAATCTGGCACCCCGACCCAAACTGGAACGGGCGGATGTACAAGCTCCCCACGAAATCCGCCGGTGGCACAAACTCGGCGTTGCGTGCGACGGCCAGATGCACCGCTTTGAGGAATAGCGCCTCGGGCACGCTGGGCATCGACACGGCTTCGGCTGACCGCTGCATGCGCTTTGCATTTGCCTCCGCCCGGAAAATAAGTATCTGGTTGTCGTGCGTTCGCCGGGCTATTGTTGCATAGCCGTTAGTCTCGACATGGGAATAGCCTCCCAATGCACGTCACCGGGAACCGGGTTTGCAGCACAAAGAAACTCACCTTGTATTCCCTCGTAGACTTGCTGGCCTATCCCCACATGATTAGCCTATCTGGAACCCTGGAAGTCGGGCTTCTTCTTTTTCTTTTTCTTTCTTCTCTTGGATTCGGAAGTCACTGTGCTTACCATAGTGTAGTCCCGGTGCCAGACCATGCACCTGCAGATAAGGGCTTGCGATGAATTCTGGCTCCGACCAGCCTGTCTCTGCAGTCCATTTGCATGCAGAATGACCGTTGACTATTTAGCAGCTCAATAATTCCCAAATTAGCTCTTTTTTGGATTCTTCTCGTTCACTGTGCCATTTCAAAGTTACTGGGACGGGGAAACTCACCGTTGTTCTTCTTGCTACTGTACGTGCCCCATTCTTCACGTAAACAGTCAGCCTGGCTTTATTCTTGTTTTGCCAAAGTAATAACTCTACTAGCAATACGTACGATAATCGGGATTTGGCGGCGGGATCCGCGTGTTGCTTAGCTTGAGACCCATGTTTTTTTTTACTCTACTGGCATGCGCGAGCAGTTTTTTGACGGGGCAGAAGTTGTAGATGTATGGAAAGACGGAAAAGTAATAAAAGAATTGGGAGCGGTCATCTATATAAGAACACGGGGAGCGAAATGGGAGCTTTATAACGTCATTTCTTAAACGCGAGTCACATCCATAAGCAGATAGATACGAGGCTGTTCGTTTTCCCGATCCCATTCCCACTTACTTATATCACTTGGTGGCTACATCCCACCATCATCACACTTGCATGGAACATTTCCCCAGTCCCCCAGCGAAACCCACATCTCGATGCTCTCCAAGCCATCCGCGCCAACAATCTCTATCTCTAAGATATCCAAGCCCTCGCAGCTTGCGGACAAGATACCCGGATCTACACTATGTGCTATGCAAGCAGCAGCGAGTCTAGCTTCATGCAGACGCAATCACGTGAGCATCTTTCGCTAACAGCCGCTCTCTGTCATGCTGACCCCCACCCCACACTGATCGCATGTGCATCCGCCTTTCCCCTAATCTCACCGATGTGCATGCGAATCTGACCGGCGGCCCCTCCGCTATAGCATAATATATGGAGATGGGATCCTTGCATCCGTCCAGCGGGCCGCTACACCTCCTGGTCGATACTTTACGCCATCTGCACATCGCCGGGGCTGTGCGTACTGTAATCCAAGTCCCCCCCCCCCACTTTGTCATCTCCCCTCATCAACGCTGGTTACTGGTACCCTAAATTTTTCTTGCTTTCGTCAGCAGTTTTAGGCTTTCACTTTCCCATTGCTGATTACGTGATTGACGGCTGCCTTGTTGCATAGGTGCCAGAGGTACTTGTGCTTGCATAAGAAACTGCGTGTGCTCATGTGTACTAGTGCGGTAAGGAGAGCTGGTCGCGTCAGCATCGTGCACGGTCCGTGTGCAGTAGTGTTATTATTGTTCCATTAGAGTCTAGTGAGCTCGAGGCTATGTAAGACTTTGGCCGAGGCCGTTCTAACTAGATTTATTTACAAATACGAGTTTGTGCTTGAAGTGTGTCTGTGGTGCTTCGGCCTTTGTCTAGGTAAGCGATAGCTATCGCTTACTAGACGCCTAGTGCTAAAGAGCA